AAGTTCTGATAAGGCTAGTGCTCGGCACAATCAAACAAAAATTTGACAGTCAAATACTTGATCTAAATAATCATAGAACAAATTAGTTAAATATATACTGTACATTCATATATACCAGATAACAATCAATTTTTGACTACGTATCAATTTTTGTTTGATTGTGCCGAGTATTAGATAGGCTAAAATTTAAAATCAACAGTTTGTACATAACGATAAATTTTTCAGTATCACTATAAGAATCAGATAATTATACTCATCAGTTAAGTCAAATTTAAATAGACGATAAAAAACTTAAAGAAGTGATTTATATTTAAATATTTTAGCACAAATAAGAAATTAATAAAAGACATAGTTTACATCAAATATTTTAATTAACAAATAATTGTTACTCGTATTGGCTGAATTATTAACGATAAGAGGTGCATGCATTGCTTTCAAATACATCGATTAATAAATTATTGTTATGTTACCAGTTAAATTAATCTAAAAAGACTAATTAGAAACGGCATATTGATTAAATCAACAGAGAAACCTATACACAAAAGTACTACTAATTATCAATTTCTAAAGTAACTGGTGGCAAAAAAATTATACCTAAGTGCTCCGAATAGTTTATTATTAATATTTTCTAACGTTGTGTTGGTTCTAGGACTGTTAGTTGGTCCGTCTTGGTCCAAAGACCTGGCATTTTTTTAAAAAGTTAGACCGGATTGCGGTCCAGGACTGACTAGGGTAGTATCATAAATACCTGTTAGTTGTTCATCGTATACTCACTGTGGTTTTTTTGAAAAGAAAAAACATATCTGGGATTTAAAATTTATATATGCAAACAGCATTATTTCTATCAAATATACAATTATCAACTGAAGGTACCTTATTTAAAAAAGTTTAATTTCCATCCTGTATACATAATAACTCTCAACTTCAAAAATTTAAAGAAGCTATTGCTCTTGCAGAATATCTTTCAGAGACTAGATAATTAGTTCCTAATAAGCAATAAATTTGAAACCCAGATAATGGGTTTTCTTTTTGCGGCATTTCTTACTATGAATTTATATATTTTTTACCAATTCTACATAACAGCCAGGAGTTTCGAAAGCAAACTCCAGATGTAATCCAGTGCAAATCTTTATAGCAAGTTCTTCATTAAATTGATAACCGTCAATAGGCCTTTGTCCAGCTGACATTTCTACTATAATAATACCAAATTCATAAATACAGTATCTGCTGCTTGTATAAACTGCTCTTTGCCTGATAAAACTTTTGGAGCAACATAGAGCAAGACTTCCAAAATATCACTCTCTAAAATATATTCATCATTCTTACTAGACAATCCTAGATCTGTGATATAAGATCGTACATCTTTATTAGTACATTGGTCTTGCAAAATGTTACCACTATGAATATATTTTGCTGAGTAAATATAATCTAACTCAAGTGAAATATCTTTAAATATTTGTATTTTAGTCTGCCATGTAAGTTTACTAAAACTCTCTCTTAAATATTTATAAAGGCTCCCTTTATTAGCATACTTAAATATCATCAAGTACAGTATTCATTAGTTTCTGTATTTTTAGTTATTATATATATTGTGAGTTTAATAAAGTTTAATTTACATAAGACTTTTAAACTTAACAAAATAACTTATCTCTTTTAAAAAATCAAACCTGTTTCCTTAGCCCATTGTTTAATAATAGACTATAATAATAGTAAATATTATATTTATTATCGATTAATAAACTTAATACCAGGTGGGTTTTATTTTACTATGTACAAAAAGTGCTTGTAATTTTGAATATAGTGAAGTTAGGATCATGGATAGTTTATGTGTACCCATGAGCCCAACAGATCAGGCTAGGGTATTAAATTTTGGGCCCTAGAGTAGAGTAAGAGCTTAAAAATTAAGCCCTTGCACAAACGGGTAGGATTAGGGTATTGCTATTACCTGGCCCTACCAGGGCCATGTAGAGGCCTAACTTGAAGCTCTCAACTAGCTCTACATAGTAATAGAGCTATTTTTAAATAATTTTTAAATAATTTTTTAATAATATTTAATATTAAAAAAAGTAGCTCTATTACCATGTAGAGCTAGTTGAGAGCTTCAAGTTAAAAAAAATTATATACACTTTCATTAGATATTTGTACTAATAAATGTAAATTTAGTTTTATAATTATTATAATATCGAAATTTAACCATTAATAAATCCGAAATTAATAATCTTTATCCGACTATGTTTGATTTTATTAGTTAAGGCCCTACTCAAAGGAAACGTTGATGTTACACAACTAATTTTACACACGGCATGAAATACATAAAAAAATTATTTTACAATACTTGATCGGACTTGATCAGTCAGCTAGTACATGTTATTATTATAATTCCACACCATTTTTTTATAATAAAAAATGGTGTTGGATTATAATCATAATATGTACTAGCGGACTGATCAAGTTCGATCAAGTATTGTAAAATAATTTTTTTATATGTTTCACACTGTGTGTAAAATCAGTCATGTAATATCAGCATTTCCTCCTGTTCGTAAAACTTCTTTCAGAACCAGAAGCAAATATTTAGATTTTTTTGTATCTTACATCATATAATAGTGATATGTATTTTTCACAATTTTATTTTTCTTGGTAATTTTTATTCCATTATTATATAATTATTGAAGTTCAGAACTTAAAATGATACGTACTTGTTCAATCATAAAACTCCAGATATAGCTTAAAAAAACAGCATATACTACCTTTATTATTGGTAACTAAATATATAAATTTTATGATTCCACATTAAACATTATTTTTAAAACAGAGAGAATTTTTTGGGGTCCTCCATAATCTTTGAATATATTTGTATTTAAAATGAGTAGGCTTGTTTTGGTAATCTCCATTAAATACATCATCAAATTTGTGATAAAATGTTTCTAGGTTTTCGATTGTTTTGCATGTTCTTTCATATATTTTCTGCACAATATATGTTAAAATAGATTAGACAAATTTTTTCAACAACAAGAATGGAATTATAAGCTTACTATAACTAGCTTGATAATATTGATAGTATTTTTCAGTTTTTCAATATCTTTAAGTTTTATAGGCAATTCAAACTTTGGCCCAGAAAAGACAATATAAAAATCTTCCACTAAATCTTCAACCAACAATTGTCCACATGTACCACCAAATTGCAAAAAGGGAACTTGGATATTTTTAACTTGATCATTATTAAGATTATATTCTAGTAATCCATTTAAAATCGATTGATTTATTCGAGTGGAATGGCATCTATCACCAATAGTCTTATTTGCTATAACTTTTGCGGAAAATTCCCACTCTCCGACGTCAACTCCTGATGCTAATAGGAAGCGAACATCATATTTACGTCCATTGGTGTAGTTTGTACTCCTACTTAATGGGCAAAAAGATTCTCCCCTAAATGAATAAAATTGTTAAAATGACTATATCGTAAGAATTACAAATAAATTTATACAAACCATATAGAATATACTTCAAGGTTTTTGCACAATCCTTCAACAACGTACGCACATGTCTTCACAATTACATCGACCTCTGTGTGTGTATTTTCCGGTGTAAATCCAAGATATTAACTTGATCTTCACTCTTGTAAATACTGAATAAGAATTGGAACCACAAAAAATAAAGACTAAGTAACACTAAATAACCCACAAATCGCTATATATTTTGCTGATCTTATATAAGAAGCTGTTTTTTTTCAAGTTAATATGAGTATCCATACAGTGTTTGTAGGCCTGATCTACTTTTCCTTTACGTACAAACTAAAATTAAAATGTATAAATAAAGACAAATAAGATAAATTTATAAAAAATAAAACCCATACCTCCTCAACCTTCAAAACAAATGAGCTCTCTTCGGGTGCCAGTTCAGAAATTTGTAGCATAGATTCATAATCTTTTGATATGAATTTCCTGTCATCAACGCAAACCATTCCTTCATGTGAGCAGACAAATCAATTATATTTGATGCACCGTAACGCAGTATGGCTTTCTCAACAGCCGTTAATTTCTTCTTATTTTTGGTTGCTCTTGTATTCTTAAATATTTTACTAGCATAGATGTTACCAACAGTTTGACCTGAAGGCAAAGTCCAAATTTCTGAACTGATGGAGGCAAAGACAAGTGATTCTTCTAGAGGTATATCCTCTTCGTCATCAGTTTCTTGAGAGGAATCGTCTGATGATATTATACTTATATGGCTCCCTATAAAAAATCAATTTAATTTGACTCTTAAAAAGTTATAGACAACCTAACCTTATCCCAAAGATTATTCGAATCCTGAAATACCTTATAATCACTGTCTGCTAATACGAATTTTGGATCGAATACTTTGCTGCCGTCAAAATGTACCTCATCATTTGAATCTGTCTCTGATTTGTCATCAAAGGTTAGCTTGTCATCATCCTCCTTTTGAATTCGTTTTGTTGTCCGGTTTTCCTCAAAATCCACTCTTTCCTCTTTTTTGCAGTTAATAATTTAATATTCTCCTCCAACATATTAGTCCTTATTTGACAAGCATTTTGCTCCTAAATGGTTCGCAATAAACAAGTTAACAACAATGACTTCACTAAAGCTTATGAAATAAGATAATTACTTCTTTTTCCTGTAATATAATTTATGCTGTATTAGTAGTGGCTTTCTCTTCTCGGATTCTAACACTACTCCAAAACTGTTCTACACTGAAAGAACCAAGGTATTGAAATTACAAAGCAGTCTTTTAGTTATTACAGCATGTATACCATTCTTGGAATTAATAATTTCCAATGCTCTAAAGAGTGCCTTTTCTGCCTCTTCCCTCTAAGAAAATGTAAATTCGGCCTTTTTAAAAAATTTAACGGCACTAACTTCTCCAGATGATAAAATTTTTTTCTAATAATTCTACAAAATCCTGCAAATAATACAGTAATAACATAAAAAAAAGGTGTGATATATTAATATCATGAACTGCTATTAGCAAATTCGGCTGTAAACTATGATACAAACTATAATCTTGACTCAAAAAGAAAAAAGATATAAAAAAGCATTAGTAAAAGCCAAAGATAGGACCTTTATATCTTTTTCAAATTCTTAAACCCGAAACCTTTTCAGGATAACATAAGATCGGAACACTGAAGCAAAACATAAATGCATTACTGTGTACCCGTTTCGAAGACAACACCAGAGACAGACGTATCCCCTCAGGATTTACAGGCTTAAGAACCGCTGGAAATAAGGATTAGAGCCTTATAGAGCCAGAACCTTATGCATCTTTATGCAACCATTTCGAAGACAACACCAGAGGCAGAGTGTATCCCCTCTGGATTTATGAGCTTAGGAAACGCTGGGTTTACAAAACACACTAAAAAAACCATACTTACTTTTCGCAAAGTTGAAGTTCTAAAAAAGCTACCGAGAAAAATTCCACATGCGTTTTTAAACTACAACACAACGCATAAATCTCACACAAAAACATTAATCAATCAATCTGCACAGAATGCAGTTGCTGTGAGCAGTGTTATGAATTCAAAAAATTTTTATTAGCACAAGCGCGTATTACATATGAATGATATGTGCAAAAAATTTTTTTACTTATATAAAGTAAAATTATAATACGCGCAGAGTGCCAATCATTTTCAACAAAATACAGATTATATGATTACCAACAAAATCGGACCGGCAGATCCTCGATTTTGATTGGCTAACGGCCAAGAATCTTTAAAATTTTGGCCCACATTACAAAATTGTTTACTAATTTCAGCCGTAATTAACTTTTTGATTTTTTCATTATAAAAATAGAATTCTTAAAAAATAAGACCGCATTATGGTAAAATTGACCCAGGGTCAATTTTCACTTAATAGGCGGCTATGATTTCATTAGTAAAATTACGAGTAATTCTGGCCTAATTTTTTGATCGTCAATCAAAATCGTACTTCAATTTAATTTCGATTAATCGAAATGATTAAGCAACGCGAATCTCATCGAAGAAGCTGCCAGAGAATAACCTTAATGATTTAGAAACTTTCAGAATTTGCCTTGATTTTGCCATTTTTTATAATTCTTACAGTTTAGAATTGTCATAATTGTTAGTAAAATCGAAAAGCTGATTTTAAAAATCAGCTGGTTAAGCTAGTAATTTGCTTTAGGGTATCACAAGCACTTCACTCAATGGATCGAGAAGTAGATTTTTTATAGTCGGAAAATGAATAAATTAAACAGATGAGTTACCATTTCGATGAACAAATCAGCAGGATACAAACTATTTTTCTGCAAAAATTTACCGTTGATAAAAGGGCGATCCCCAAAATTCCTGATATTCCCTAACAGGAATACATTCTTGTTTAAAAAGTATATTTGGTGATCTGTTAGAATAATAATTGCAAGAGAATTTTCAAGCTTTTGCCTAGGGTAATGATAAGAATAGAATGAATATTTTTGGGATGGGTTTTTTCTTATCTTTTTAGAGAGATAGTTGTGAAGGATAGTCTGAATTGTCTAAGAGTATCTCCCTTAATGTGATTAACTAGTGATTCAGGATGTTGCTAAATCATTACAGTTAATTGAAGGACGATTGGTTAAAATTCAAAATGTGGTAACTTATTTTGTTTATTCAGTTTCTAACTAGTTAAAATTTTTCCGATCTATTGAACCGTTTGAGAATACTCTAACTAACTTGTAGTTAGGATTTCTTGTATCTGCTCAACAACATGTATTACATGAAAAAAGGATTCCGTAGTTACGTTTTAGAACACCTTTATGAGAAACAAAATGAGTAAATACATGCCACTCTGATTATACCGAAATCTGAATATAACGACATCATAGTAAATATTTCTATATCAATATTGTCAATATATCCAAAAAAAAAAAAAAAGAATATATGGGGGTGGGTCAATAGAAATCAAGCAAATTTTTTATAATAAAATTTTTTTATAACTTTAAACAAGAGTAACTTAACAA